ACGTACTTAATACTTATAGATAACTTAATGAAATGTAGTAGTAGTTTAGTAGATATTAAAGTGGTTATGGTCCTACCTTAAATAACATAACATGATTAAATTTAATAAAGGTGAGGTAGGATCTTTAATGTACCTGAATCTCTACCATAAAATGAGTACTATATGATGGAGATGACTCCATCATATAGTATATTATCTACGTCCATCACCTTGTCTTATCGGTACATATTATAAAAGTTGACCAAAGAAATATCTAAACATTCAGGATACAATCACCAACTCACGTTCCAAGCCATCTTTGTTTGCTTAAGCTATAAGGAAGAAAAGGACCAAAAATTGTACGGATTCGAAAGAAATTGTACGAAGGAGAAATTTTAAGCGAGGAGAAATTGTATGAATTTATATTTTATCGCGTTAAAGCGACTCTTTTTGTTTAATCACTGTATCAAAATCTTATGTTTTTGCAACTGCGTCAATTCTGCATCTCGTACTGCAATTTCTCTCGTGTCACCTGCAATTCCTCTGGTGTTGCGGAAGTTCATGGGCGGCGGTAGTCACTTAACATCAGGTGAACCGTATGCTCGTTTGCACCCTCTTCTATAAAAAAATATAATAGTTTAAATATGCGTGTACTATCAAAACAATAGATAAATACTGTTCATGAATATGTACTAGCGAAAAGCTTCTTCACGTGTGTAGCCAAATGTCATTACGTGCTTTACTCAAGTCTATTGGAAACAGGAGTTCGTGTGGGCATGTAGTTGTTGCTCTTCTGAATAAAGTATAGTAGTATCATTTGATCATTTTCATCAATGGAAGTTTTTTTTTTCATTATAAATCACAACCTGCTAAAAATACAGTGGAAAATCGCTCGACAGAGCTTCGCACGTTCAGCTGCAAAGCAAATGTGAATTAAATCGTGATATTTAGCATTCAGAAAACGTTGAAATAGTGGATCGTTGAGCGAGTTTCTTAAAAAAACTTTATAAATAAACAAATTAAGATATTAAACTAAACTTATATTCATATATGTTTAATACAAAACTCCATAATGTACATCAGCTTTGCTATGTAATTTTTTTGGTACTTAATACTGTTCATAAAAAAATCAACTTCTATTAAAAAGTCAACAATTTCGTTGGTGCCGGTAAGAATATAATAAAATTTTGTCATTTCTACTAACAGCATTTATACGTTTAGAACATTTATCTCAGTGCTGTCTTGACTAACTTTGTTTAAATAAAGATTTCTTAAATTTACGCGAACACTACACATTGAATAAAACTATTATTTACGGATTTTATCGCGTTTAATTCAACTTTAATTTATTTTTATTATCCCGACGTTTCGGGTGCTTTACACACCCGTGGTCACGGGGGGGGGGGCTGAGATGTTTGACGTCCCAATGTCATAGTTAGTCCGGCTACCTTCAGTTTTTGAATATTAATTTTTGGTCCGATTTACGCAAAATATATAACTTTGTTTAAATTATGCTAGTGCTGCTGCTTTTAACGTAGTAAACGCACGCTGCAGCTAGAGTTACTATGGTTGTAGCACGATTGGGCCGGCTCGACCGTGTCAGGACCAGGCTCTCATAGAATACCAGCGTAAAATAGCAGCTTAATGCTGCTGTGTTTCGTATGGTGAGTATACAGAACCGGAGACCTTTTTTACTGGAAGTGAGGCATTCTATCTCAGTCCTCAGGGGTGACAACGCATTTACATTTTGATTCTTAATTGAGGATAAATGTAGTTGTCTATGGGCCACAGCATCCACTTAACTTCACGTGGACTGTGTGCTCGTCACCCTATTCTATAAAAACTCTGATTAAATTAGAGCAGTGCCAACTTTTCCAAGACAAATTATTATTGTTAATGTTTTATAATGTTGTATAATAAGCATAGCATAAACACTCACGCCTGTCACCCATAGGGGTAGGCAGAGACCACGGACTTCCATTTGACACGATCCTGACATACCTCTTTCGCCTCCTTTACATCCATATATCTACGCATACATGCTCGTCGGTTAAGGGTACTTTTAACGTGGCCCATTTTCAAAATATCGCCAATTTGGTAATGATAAACTTTTTTCTAGGGCGTCCCTTCCCGACTCTGCCGTTAACATCTGCCATATAAATTTGTTTTGTCACTCTTTCCTCATTCATTCTTTCTACATGACCAAACCACCGAAGCATTCCTTTCTTAATCCTGGTCGGTGGTTTCTTAATCATGCAATTTCTCACCCTGTCATTCAGATTCAACCCTAGCATACTCCTTAAAGACCGCATTTCTACAGCATTTATTCTACTTTCGTGCTTCTTCTGCCACACCCAGCTTTCACTACCATACATTAAAGTAGGGACTAACACAGCATTATAAATTACCATACGTGCCTTTTTTGATACATTCTGGTTCTTCACAATAGAGCGTAGTGCCCCATTCACTCTATTCCCTGCTGTCATGTTGTATAATGTTATATATTAATAATGTTTTAGAAATTCGTAATACTCTAATACAATTTGTTTGTCGTTTTAATTAAAAAAAGAGTAATAGCAGTGAGATTAACACTACAATTACTATTCCCGTTAAGTTACAGGTTAGGAGTGGTTCGCGATAGAAATCGAATGACGGCTTCGAACCCACGACCTTTAAGTTTCGCAGTCCGTGCCTTTACTATAAGGCTAACATCATCGCTTAAATAACTTAACAACTCAACATCTCTTTCTCTATAAAACTGATCAACAAATTTAATAAGTTTCGTCGATAGGTTATCGAAAAATTTTATCAATGAATTAATGGTTAAAAACGTCATTAAAGCACTTTTAGTTTCCTCTCGTATTATCATCCAGTAATGGTCAATCTGCTATACTTTGGCTAAGCTACGTATGCAATTTATTTTATTTACCTATCCAACATCCAATATTATCTATACCATAATTTCCAACAGGTTATTTATAATTCCGAGCGTAATTACTTAGATTCTATTTAAGTCCATCAATCTCGATATCATTTATTTAATAACTTAAATTGAAAACTTGAATAACCCCCGAAACAAAAAAGCTGATGATCTTCAAGCGACTGAACTGATTTTGATAAAACATGTCTAAGAACCACTGCTAGAAATCCTGCTTTTAAATTAAAAAAAAAAACCACATCTAAATCGGTCCACCCGTTTAAAAACTATTATGCCACAGGCAGACAGACACGCATGGTGGCCAAAACTTATGACACCTCTTTTTCGTCGAGGGTTAATAATAATGAATTTGTAAAATAAAGTGCATCGAGAATACACCTACTAGAATAATAAACAAAATACCGACCTCTTGCCAACTCGTAGAAAATGTTATCGGAATTCACCCAATGCAGGGTGCATGGATGGGTGCAACAAGAAACTTGTTTCCGATCTAAACAAGTAGTTGCTTTTATTACACGATGTATGTTTGCTTGTATTGTATACATCTATGTATGTATATATCCATGAAATGGAATTCAATAACTGAGTTTCCACTAATTTCTAAACATCTGAATAATCCGAAATTTTACTAAGAAACGATGTAACACAACAATCTGATTTCTGGTTTCTGGTTTCTGATGGTGTTAGTGCTGTAGGCCTTTTGGCTTTTACGGCATCATCGGTCTCAGGGATTGCGGTCTGTAGCTGTAAAGACAATACAATATTTTCATTAACACGGTCAAGTATTTTCACTTGGTTCATCTGTGCTCATGATAAACGCGTGTAGTTTAAGTTTTTTTCTTAATATTATATTTATTACCAGTTTTAACAAATAAAATATACTAGTTTAGAAAACCATTGGACTCCCTATGGAGTAATTCCAAAATCAAAGTAGGAAAATAGATGTTTAGGCAAACATGTATTACCGTTATGAATGTTCATTTGTGTTGACCGATAAAAGGTTCCTGGTGATATTACTCGTAGATGGTTAATTTTCAGTAAATAATTTCTAGTGAATTTGATTCGTGTATGTGTGCATGGATAACAATTGTTTCATTTGATCGTTCATTACATCCCTTTATCTAAATGCTAAAAGTAAAAAAAAACACTATTGATAATAAAAGTATACATGTACAAGTAATAAATTGTGTGTATGGGTATGGGAGAATAGGAAAAAAAATTAAATGTAGATTGCTCGCATATCCTTCTCGTTACAATAATAAAGTCAGGTGTGCTTTACTATCAACAAACTACATACCTACAACTAAATTAACCCATTTAAGTAGGGAGTTTTAAAGACCAAACTTTCTATTTTGTGTGGAGTTCATTATATTAAGATCGATTGAACGTTTATATATTATGTAGAAAAATGTGACGTCAGTCCAGTGTTCAATTAGTTCTGTGTGTCACCTCAAGCATAGTTTTCTGATGCAATTAATAAATCAAAACAACCTTACGATAAGATCTCAACCACCCTTTGAATGATCCCTTTCGTATTTTTTAGCTCTGTGCTTTTAGTTTAAGATATATTTCTATGAAAGTGAATCGATTTTCTGAGTTTTCGAATAATTTACTGTCTATCTGTCTTTTATTGGTAGTGTAAGTGATTGAGATGCTATTTTGGATTTTCCAAATTGATATATTCTGTATTTTCGTTGTACATTCTTCATTTAATATTAAAGATGATGATGTAAGTTATCGAAGCTGAAATACTTTATTCGGGAAAGCGCATTGCTAATGAATGATGTACGAACAATTTCCACTGTTAATTTTTCTGTTTTGCTTTCATTTAAAGTGAACGCAAAACCCGAGCCTTTACTGATAGCAATTATTTCTTTCAGATACAATCAACTTTAAAGGAAATTAATACTAGATGAGTCTTTTATATCTAAAATTTTTATTCTTATATTCGCAACATATGCACTACTTGAAATTTGTAAGGCATTTTTGTTCATGTCATATCACAAATGTTATCATACCTGTCTCGTTTTTGCTAATTTTACATTATTTATTTAATTCCACTTAGTATTTTTCGACATCGCAGAGTGCGTAATAAATGGTCAGCGAGTCGGAGAAGGGCGCGACGTGCGCGTTCCAGAGGAGCCATGTCTGTCATGTCGTTGCATGCGTGGCACGTTGTCATGTGCGAAGCGCGCATGCGCTGTGCTGCCTTGCCCGCGCGCTCAGCAACACACGCCGCCCGGCGAGTGTTGCCCTCGATGCTCACACCCCACAGCAGACAAGATTCTTCCGAGTACGTTCATTTTTATATAATAATAATAATGTCCTCCAGACCGAATTTCGGCTACGGCGGCTGGCCTCAACGGAGGCTAGCCATCGGTGCAAGACAGGATTATAGTGCCCAAGTGCATACACTTGGCAAGCACAGGTACACTCTCTATTCCCTCACTCTCATAATCCGAAGGGACGGTAAGCCGACACGACCGGAGAGAGATCAGGCACAGAACCAACGGCTTTACGTGCTTTCTGAGGCACGGGTGTGAGATACCGCCATCTTGCTGACTCCGGGCAGCTACTGAGAATTTCTTGACAGAAAAACTCAACAATTGATTTTTTTGGCCCGACCCGGGATTCGAACCCTCATGATCAGCAGTACTACACGCACTACACAACCACTAGACCAACGAGGCAGTCATTTTTATATATTATGTATGTAATATGAGTTTTAAAATATTTATAAGACTCCCTTTTCACGACAACCCCGGAAGAAGAAAAAGTTTTTTTGGGGTAAATGTGGCTGAATAAATTGTTTTTAATTTCTTATTCTTATATTAATATGTCCTCTTTGTAGTCTAAACGTATTAAGTGACACGGATCAAAATATGAAATCCTTTTTTGTTAGTTATTTTGTAACTCAATTTGTGTATTATGAAGTGTTTCTAAAAAAAAACGTTTAATAGAAAACATATCGGGTATATGAAGAAAAATAAGGATAATTTCGTTAGCTACTAATAAATTACTAAATTGTGCTTCCCCTAAAATAAAAGCAAATTAAAAACCTTATTTTACAACTTGAAGTCCACCGGATAGTGAGTACTGCAGTCCATAGTCATCTGTAGCCAACTTCATACAGGAAGACTACAGATGCGTTGTTATCTCTGAGGACTAATATGGAATGTCTCACCGCCTGTAAATTTCTTTATACTCTTCAGACTGATAGACAGCTGTGCACGCACTGCCTTGCACTTGGCTACAGAAATACTATCAGACAGCCTGACGGTAAGTGGTTGCTGTGGCCCATAGACATCTACATCTATCCTCGATTACGAATCAAAATGCAGATGCGTTGTCACCCCTGACGGCTGAGATGGAATGCCTCGTTTCTAGTAAAAAGGGTCCCTGGTTCTGTACACTCACCATATAAAACATAGCAGCATTACGCTGCTATTTTACGCTGGTACTGGTATTATGCACCGGTCGGCTCGACCGGTGCACGATCAGGCTCTCACAGACCATTCGTGCTAAAACTCACTCAACAAATCATAAAGCTTCAGGGGTGGCTCTACCACCTAAATATAATCGTTACTATCGTTATCATTATCATCGTTAGCCTTACTCATCGTTATCATCGAGACTTATAAAAGTCTACTGCTGGATACGGGCCACGCCCATTGTAAGAAGAGTTTACCGCACCGGTCACGCTTGACGATTGCAGTACCAGACGTCTCGGGACATTTGGCACTGCTTCCCGTCAACAATCTGGTGCAATCTGGGTTAGCGCCTGATGTCAACAAGATAGTTTAACCGCTAAAAGATCTTTCACATATATCCTAAAGTCCGATCAAAGACTCTTATTTACTGGCAATGAGGCATTGTATTTTGGTCCTCAAGAGTGACAACACATTTTGATTTTTAATCGAGAATTAGGTATCTCTACGAGGGCGGCACTGAAAATTTCGGGAATCAAGGAAGTGACACAACATTACTATTTAAAAATGTATTTATTGCTTTTCGAAGTATTCTCCGCGAAATTTGACACATTTTTCCATACGATGGAACCAATCATTGAAGCAACCATTCCATTCGGAAGTTGGGGTCTCGAAAATGGCCGTTTTGTAGGCGTCCACAGCTTCTTCAGGTGATGAAAATCTCTGTCCACGCAAATTATTCTTTATTTTAGGGAAAGTATAGAAATCATTAGGGCTTAGGTCGGGGCTGTACGGCGGATGGTCTAATAATTCTATGTTTTCTTGCTCTAAAAACTCTTTTGTTCTGTGTGCGATGTGAGAACTCGCATTGTCGTGATGGAGGATGATGCGGCGGTTGCAGTTCTCTTTACGGATTTCAGAAACGACCTGTGGCAAACAAATGCTAGCCTACCATTCTGTATTAACCATTCTTTGTCCCTCAAGAGGAATAGTCGTAACATGGCCGGTTTTGGAGACAAACGTGGCCACAATTTTTTTTGCAACACTCCGTGAACGAACAATTTTTGTTGCTCAAAAACTCATTTTCGAACACCCAAACTCGTGACTGGTTTTTTGTTTCGGGTTCGTATGCGTATTTCCAGGATTCATAACCTGATATGATGTTGTATACAGCATTTGAGGATCCTGCATGGAATCTTTCGAGAGTTCTGACGCACCAAGTAACGCGAGCCGCTTTTTGCTCTTCACAGAGCGAATGCGGTATCCATCGGGAAAACAACTTTTTTACACCTAATTGTTCATGCAAGATTATTGGTATTTGACTCATACCAATGTCTAAAGTTGCCTGAATTTCGCGGTATGTCACATGTCGATCTTCCTCAATCAGCTTACGCACAGCATCAACGTTTTCTTGGGTGACTGCAGTTTTTGGACGACCTTGACGGGGATCATCACTGAGCTTGACATGTCCACGTTGAAATTCAGCAAACCAGCGATAAATTGTGGTTTTAGATGAGGCTTCATCACCAAATGCAGAAATCATCCGGTCAACACACTGTTTTTGTGTTAAACCACTTCGAAAGTCATAATAAATCATCGCTCTTGAATTTCTCGAGTCAATTCCATTTTCTCAACGACTAAACAAGTTTGACAAAACCTTATGACAAGACCGAGAATCTTTTTTTAATAAATAAATGGTATTCGATTTTAAAACCAAGGAGTTTTTAATTAAAAAGATTTTAATATGACAGGAACAGTGGAAATATTCCATTCCCGATACTTTTAGTGCAGCCTAGGTATGTACTACAACATTCACCATAAGACGGACTATCTGTTCATTTGTCAATCTTGTTCTAAAAAAAACGAATTATAGGATCGTAATTTAAATTAAATCGCTATTATCCAAAAGCAAAAGCTTCGATGCAAACTCTATTTTTGGACGTGGTAGAGCAATGCTGCAGTTATATTAGTAGTATAATTGTAGCACGAATGTGTTGGCTCTACCGGGGAAGGATCACGCTCTCACAGAATACCAGCGTCAAATAGTAGCTTAGTGCTGCTGTGTTTCGTATGGTGAGTGTAGAGAACCGGAGACCCTTTTTACTGGAAACAAGGCATTCCATCTTCAGTCCTCATGGGTGACAATGCATCTACATTTTGATTCTTAATCGAGAATATAGATGTCTATAGGCCACAGCATCCACTGACCATCAGGTGGACTGTGTGCTCGTTTGTCACCCTATCCTATAAAAAAAAACTCAACCTCAATTACCAAAAGTGATTACAGATTCTAGATGGGTAACATCTAATTTCACTAACGATTACTCTAAAGCATTCTAATTTTAGGTGTGACAGTTTCAGGTGGCTTGATACCGAAGCCGTGCATTATTGGTAAAGAATACCATGCACACTTTAGTCGGTTTCAAGTAGACCCTTGCACGGACTGCACGTGCATGAACGGGACCACCGTGTGCACGCGTCACACGTGCCCTGTTCTAACCTGCGGTGCTCGCGCTCTGCCGCCCCCTCCTGGGAAGTGTTGTCCAGAGTGTCCGCACGTTGAAGAAGCCAAGGCTGCTTGTGTTATAGGAGGTGTGACTTACCAGGTAAATTATATTTTGTAAAGGACTACTTTTGTTACTATAATCTGCAAAATTAAATATGTGTATAAATCTGTGCAATTAAATAAAGTTATAATGTCAGTTTTATATTTTATTCTGAACTTGGATATAATTTATTTTGATAAATTAACTTATTCCATTGTGCAGAGAATCGACTTATTTTTAAGTCAATTCTATAATAATCCAAAGAAATAGAAAGTGACTATGATCCGGTAACAGGACAAATAATAATATATTTTATTTATCCGTCTATAATGGTTGGTCGGCGATAACTAGGTGCAGCTTTGCAGGCTATACTTGAGTGTATCAAGTATAACCTGCAAAGCTGCATCTATCGGCTTAAGTAGATGTAATTTTTGACCAAAGCTAGTTCTACTAAAGTCCGAATAATAATACAAATATTTACGACTTCTGTTACCTTTGTCGAATGATATGAAAGCACCTATCAAGCATTTATAGCGACAGTAGTTTATGGTGCGGCTAATCGATAACACTTTGTATACTAAGTTTGACCAATTGCAATATATATTGCAATATATAATAAAGTAGTAAATTTTAAAGCGACCAAATAATGTTAAAAAACTAAAATGATTGATTTGGGTGATCAATTTGGGTAAACTATTAACAGTGTGGTCTTAATATCGTTTCAGGACGGTGAAACATGGCAGCTAGATGCGTGTAAGTCGTGCGAATGTCACGGCGGCGAACCGAGATGTGCCATGGAGCGATGTCCTGCTTTGTCGTGTCCTTCCGACCAAAATCTTCGGCAACTGCCTGGACAATGTTGTCCAAAGTGCGTTGACATCGACGGCATATGTACTGTTTTCGGCGATCCACACTATAAAACTTTTGACGGGAAATTTTATAGTTTTCAAGGATCTTGCAAATACCAATTAGTATCCGATTGTTTAAATCATACTTTTTCGATCAGAATTTCGAACGACGCAAGAAACACTACACATTCCTCGTGGACTCGTACGGCAACTTTGCGTATAGGTTCCACGAAAATAAATATGGGGCGAAAAATGCGCATAAAAGTGAACGGACAGAGAGTGACATTACCACAAAAAATAAACAATGTGGCCGATATCTCACGAAGCAATGGATCCGTTTTATTGAAATCCGACATCGGGGTCCAACTCCTGTGGGACGGTGACGGATTTTTAGAGGTGACTGTATCGAGTGTGTATAAGGGTAAACTGTGTGGTTTGTGCGGCAATTTCAACTCGGTGGCTCGGGACGATATGAGAACGCGCGACGGTAGACTTTCAAATGACCCATGGCGGTTTGGTTCTTCGTGGCGCGTCGGCGGGCGTCGCGCTTGTTCGCGTCCGCTGGAGCGTCCGAGTGTAAGTTCGCGGTGCCCGCAGTCCAAGCTGGTGAAAGCTCGCCGGCTGTGCCGCGGGTTCGACCGATACGAGGCGTTCGCGGACTGCCGGGGGAAAGTGAACCCGCACAACTATCGCGAGGCGTGCGTGCTGGACGCGTGCAGTTGTTCGGGGAAGCGGTGCCACTGCGCGGCGTACCGTGCGTACGCTCGCGAGTGCACGCGGCTGGGCGCGGAGGCGCTGGGCTGGGCGCGTGCGGCCTGGTGCGAGGGCTCGCCGCCGCCGTGGCTCGGCCGCGCGCACAAGTCCTTCCCGCGCGCCTCACGACCCACCAAGAAGACGTACTTGGACCCGGCCGTGGTGCCGAAACCCTACAACAACCGCACCCGACCTCCGCCGCCCATACTCCATTGATGTGCGCGCAGCGACGCTTCTACTAGTCAATTTTGCCGACCTGGCGAAGTGAGGTGCGTTGCTTATATTAATTATTTATTCTCGATCAACCGTGTAGTGGCAATACAAGAATATCCATTAATTAATCCATACCGTTTCGTAGGTGTCGTAAAAGGTGACAGAGGTAAACTAAAACACGGGCTGAGCACCAGCATCTTTCTGATAACAACTCAAAATTTAAAAAAAACTGCAGTTGCCTAAACGTATGTCAAGTCTATGGGGGAGGCCTATGTGCAACAGTGGATTTTTATAGGCTGCTTGTACTTGTACTATGTTTTGGGAGAAGACCCTGACATTTAAGATACAGGCTCTGTCTAGTTTAGATGTCAGTAGCTTCATATGTGGAATTACTTAACTGTAAGCTTAGTTTTGTTATTGTTGTTATCGTGTGTACTTAATCTTAAGGATATAATAAAGATTATTATTATTTATTTTTTAGTATTCTCTCGTTCTTATTATTATTATAATGAATGGATATCATGGTGTTCTTTATATATATATATATATATATATATATATATATATATATATATATAATACGAATTTCGTATGGTTATTTTGGCAAAAACGTGATTTGATTAGAAGGTTCAATGTTAGAATTCATACTTAAAGTCACGACGACAAACAAATATACGAATACAGGCTTCAAAAGCTGGTTAACATTGCATTTTCATTGCAACTCTGATCTAATTGGGTAGAAATTATAATAATTTACCTTGTCTTAAATGTAAATGAACATGAATTTAATAATAAAATGTTATTTGTGGTTTTTTTTCCAGAGTATTACGAATAAAAGGAAAGCTGCATCTGAGAGGTGCTAGCGCCGTGAGGAAGAAAGATCTATTTACGTTATCAGTATTCATGTTAAACTTATATTTTAGTTAAAAAAAGTACATTTTATACCAATTTAGTAATGGTAAAATCATCTGCTTAGCTCTATATTACCTCGCGTTATTTAACCAGCATGTCCCTTGTATCGATTACCTACCAAATAAATCTCGACTTAGTTTAATAGAAAGAAATATAATCGTTTTAGTAAGTAATAAACTTCAGAGTTTCGACTTGTTATCTTAAGTTTACAATTTATGTTCGGACTAAGTTTTTTTATAAACTAATTTTTTGTGAGGAAAACTTACAAAATATTTGTCAAAATATTATGTATCTTCAAAATTCAAACATACTCCGTACGCCTAAGAGATAATAAAAAAAACATTTTGCGGTATACTCAGACCAACAAAAAAAGAAAGCTTTATCGCTGCGTACGGTTCAAGTGACGCAAAAATCTTTCTTCTTTCTTTCTTTAACAGCCCGTAAAGGTACCCAACCCCGAGCACGAGCGCAGCATGAGTCGAACACAAATTCGTGTAGTGTGGTCCGGCTTACAAGCCTCGAACGAGCGCGCTTCGAGCGTTTGGTTCGTGCTCGACTGTGCTCCGCCTATTGTTTGTTTTTTGACGAACTCAAAGGGATTTGCATCGTATGCATCAATTTGCATGTTGTAGGCTCGTTCTACGTCCACACTTAAAACAAGAGTAGAGCGGCTCAGCTTGTGCTCGGCTCCTCTAGCGTAGACCCATCTTAAAAGTTCACAGCTGGACGCACTAATATGCACCTAAAAGCACGTTGTTGGTTGCAAACTATTGTAGATGCATATGTGTACGTGAGTGCGTGTTCTAACAATAATTGAAGCATGGTTTTGGCTTGGTTTCTACGTCACTTGAAATATATGCAGCGCTCCTTCACTCTTTCTTTTTTGATCTGAGGTAGTATTATAAAAACAATATTTATACACACTGGTGTAATTATACTGTAATAAAGCTCTTACAAATTATTGTTATGAATCGATTTAATGTTTATTACTCTATGTATACCCATGATACAAAAGTATCATCGTTAGTATTGAGTTAGCATGCATTGTATTGATAGTAAACTTAATGAATATAAAAATATGTGTCATTCTTTTTTATACGTTTAAAAATGTGATATAAGCTTTGTTTATGACTTCTGATAGGAGATACGTTCGGTAAGGCATAGTTCAAATTGAGATCTCATCTATAGTTGTAGCTCTTTACAAAACTTAGACAAATCTAGCTATCTGAAGCAAAGAAGCTAAAAAATGGGAAACGTGAAGTACGATGTAAAGTACATATTTTTTAATTTTATATAAGATTGTGTTCGTCCATGATTTAGGAATTAGGATGAAATGGAAACTAATTATTTCTATTTGTAGCTCGCGTTAGTGCCATAACAGTTCGAAACTTCATTCCCTTGTAATATAAGAATGTATTTCTTGTATATAATGGCGTTGACTGCACCGTGTGTTTCTTTTAAAGGGGATACCATAGGGAACTTTGCAATTATGAGATACAGAGAGACTGTGTTCTGGTTATCTTAGTTCTTCTTTGTTGTCGAAGTTGGTATACAACGCATCATCATTACAGTAGTTACTTCATACTTGTTATTCATTTAGTGTGATTTTTGAGTCTTCCATGTCACGAAATAATTCGATTATACATGAAACTGAGTCGATTGATTGATATCAATGTAGGCTTAATTCATTTTTAGGAAAATTCACGCTCAACCAAAAATTTATACATGATTTAATATGTCAATATTATCTTGACTTAAAAGAGACACATTGTAATATGCATGATAAATGTTGACTTTGTAACAATTGTGTAAGTGATGACTTTGGTCATCGTTATTTTGAGAAATATGCCGAATTAAGTACGTAATACGCTAGCGTTTGTATTCCACCAATAAGTATAAAATTACTGATAACTATTGTAGATAGCTAGACTTAACTTTTAAATATTTGTTCTTTACTATATATGTATCGTTTTATATTTATATGTCCCTTTGAAATATTAGTTTAAAAAAGCGTTACCAATGAACTTTAATACTGACACTGAATGTTTTTAAAATTGTAACGGGCACAGGCATACCTCGCGCTGTTATACGTCTTTGTATATTGTTGGAGGGGTGTATTTTAGGAATGGTTTTCGATATTCTATGATAAAACAATACGATAGATACGATAGATACTATGTGCCATCAATTTATGATGTAATTCCCTTTCCGTTAAATTATACTATTAAAATAAGGTAGAAATGTTTTATTTACCGGTTAATCATACATAAAATCTATGTTACTCTCTTTTTCTTTTTTAAATAATTATTAAATTATCTATATAATGTACGATCGCCATTATTACTGTTACTCTAGATTTAGAAGTCGTGTTTAAAATATCAGGCTATGAAATTTGGTAAAAATTATTTAAAATTAAATTAATTAGGTATGAATGATTTATGTCACAAATATTAAGAGAAATCTAATTATTTGCTATCTTCCTGCAAGCGAATTAAGTTAATATATTATAAAAATAAACTATTAATTAACACCTAACTTTTAAATTCGTTTTTTAATAAAATTATAATTACATACATTAGTCTGTATTAACTGCCATTGATTTTTTATGGATTTTGTAAAAATTATACATATATTTTATTAATTTCTATCTATTATGTATCTGTAATAATTTATTATTCTTTTTTTTCGTTTTTCATATCTACTTTATTTTTTCACACGGTCTACGTTTTAAGTAGACTTTTAAGTTATTTGACATATTAATTTGATATATTTAAATAAATACCAACATGATGATAAAGTTGTATGTTTTATTATATGAAGCAAAATAATGTAGAGTACTACTATACTATAAAATAATAATGTTCTCCAGAAATAATTTCGGTCACAGTAGCCAGTTCCAACAGCTAGTCTAGCAAAGGTGCAAACTCTGTTTCCAACTTTACTCTCATTGTCCGATGGGAAAAATCCGAGACACCGGAGAGAAATTAGAGGTAAAACCTCATCAACTACTTGACGCTGGGCTCCTACTGAGAATTTCTTGGGAGAGAAACCAAATGACTGATTTAGGTCCGACCCAGTATTCAAGCACAGGACCACACGATTAGCTGCCACGCTTACGACAAATACACTAACGAGACAATCAACAGAAAAGTAAAGTAAAGAACACAAACTATGTAAGTCTCACCGCTGAGCTCCTCTCCATTTTTGAGAGAGTTGTAAGGCAAAGAAGTGTCCGCCGTGTTGTTCCAATGCGTATTAGCGGACTTTCCGTCTTTTCATTTTCCCTTCAGCGCAAGCACGTAAGAAAACAGCACTTAAAATTGCAATCAACTGTTTTGATGGTGCCAGCGGATGTCGAACGGCTCCGGCACGGCACGGGTGCAGAATACAGTTACCAAAGATATTTATTAATTAATGTTTTTACTAGAAATCTCAATTGATTGGAAAATTTACGAAAGTATTTATTCGTCTTATGCGGATAAAATCTCTGGGTATAAAAATCAATAAAGGATCCATCCGACTGTTTAGTGGCGACGAATATTTACTACCTACATATCATCCCGTGGGTGTCGTGAGAGGCGACAGAGGGAATAAACCAGGAGATTGGCAGCGGTAAGTAGTAAGTAGTAGCAATAGGTAGGTATACATAACGAGAAAATATATCGTAATCTTCCGAACGCTTCCCTGCCGAATTGAATCCGCCGATTGGTCGGCGTTGAACTTACCTAGTCGAAAAATTTGTACATACTCGTCAACAATTTTGAGCGTCTGAAAGTGCTACTAGCTATTGCACACATATTTATGTACATGGACGTTACACATGAATTTTATTTTCTCTATGTTCATCTTGAGAACTTTCCGTTGGAAAACAATTCAGAAAATCTGTATAATTGTTTTCCAAGGGATCCATATTCAACAATTCTGCCATAATGACTATAATGTCGGCAAATCGAGGTTAGGTACTCGCCATTAATGATATTATGATTGATACCACGTCCCATCCAATCCATTGAAAACGTCTTCATATGCAGTGTTTAACAGTTTCGTTGATATAACGTCACCTTGTTATTTACACTGCTCCGCAGTCGAATAGGTTTCGTACTCCGGTACTGTACTGGCATAGCCATCGTAGTTCTAACGTACACACACTTCAGTACATCGATAAACCGAAATCCAACTTCGCACCGTTGAAGGGATTGTTTCGACGGAGTTAGGAATTGTTTCCGCGAAAATTTCGGCTGATGCAAAGGCTTTCTCATAGTCCACATATGCAAAACAAATTGGAAGATTGTACTTTTCGATCTTCCGACTTTTTGTGGCAATGTGGTTTATGGTACTAAAGGCTTTCCGGTAACCAGCTTATTTGGGTGGCTAAAAGTCATGAAGTCTACATACGAAATGCGATTCGCAATGACTCGAAAACTGCTGTTGTTGCACCTAAACGGGGCTCAGAAGGGAAAGCTACCCTAAATGGAGCATTTTCGCGTTTCTTTATGAACAAGATTAACTCACTTTTGCTTCACTCCTTCGGAGTAGTGCCGCCTTGTAGAGCGAAATTAAAGTTTCTGAAGTACGTTCAGAAGCTTTCAATAGCTCCGCTGTAACTCCACCGTCACCCGGCGCCTTGCTATTTTTAAGTTGTTAGAGAGCCATTCTAATCTCGTTCAAAAGGACGTCCGAGATATACCAATATAACTCTTGGATCGTTAACCGTTAACCGTCTGTGGCTCCAGTGGTAGTACACATTGTTGTTGGAGCGAGACAAAAAGCTGCAGAAGCTGACCCTAGGATCATTCAATTTAACTCATATCAGGTGTCTCTGAAGTGACGCTGCCACCACCAGTCTTATACTTCGAGAGTTGGGTCTCTCCGGCAAATAGATCTCTGGCAAAGACTTTGGAGCCTCGTTTTCACACAAATACGAGCTGTATTGAAGTAGCGCAAGCTTCGCCGCATGCATTTGTAGATGTGTGATGTGTTTGCTAACAGTCATGGGTTTTTTTTAGATTTATTCTACAACGGTCTGGCAAAATTTAGCTCCGACCGCATGCACATTTACCACTTCTTTGATATTTATAGCATCTCTGTATTACAATCTTTTAGGCACTGAAAACGATTTTGTGATTCAAACTAAAAGTTTTCAAGGTTTTGGATTAGAGCACGAGGGTGACAGAGGTATACTACAACGAGCATGCGGCTAACCTGATAGTAAGTGGCTACCGCCGCCCATGAAAGATTGCAACACCAGAGGAATTGCAGGTGCGTTGCCGGCCTTTAGAAAGGAGTACTTAAGCTCTTTTCTTAAAGGTCCCTAAGTATATCGGACCGGAAAAATAGTCGGTCGTAAACAATTTCAAAGAGAGGTTGTACGAGGAAAAAAACTTCAAGTAAAGCGCACAGTGGTGGCCAAGCTTCCAGATGGTGCGGATGGTATTGTGAGTTGTGACGCAATGTGCGTTCGTAAAATATGGCGGCTGGAATTAATCCAAACAATTCCTCAGAGCACTCCCGTGGTAGATGCGATAAAAAATGCAAAGGGATGCAACATCCCTTCGCAGCGCCAGTGAATCGAGCTGATTAGAAAGAACTCGGTCGTCGACGATTCAAACCGCTCTACGATGGTTGTGGTGAAAGGGGCTGGTGCTAGGGTGCCCATAGATGAGAACAGTATTTCACGTGAGGATGAACTTGCGCCTTGTAAAGTTGCAAGTGGTGTGTCGGCGTGAAATAATGTCCCGCTCTGCTCAGCAGGCCAAGCTTTTTAGAGGCCAATTTGGCCTTCTCTTCCGAGTGACCATGAAACTGCACATTATTTGATTTGTCGATGCCAAAGGTTCCGATGCTAGCTGAGGCAGCAAGGGAGTGCCATGAAACTAAGGAGATACGACAAGGGGTACCTTTTAGCCGTAAATGCGCAAACTTGTGTCTTCTGGCGATTGAACTGGACAAGATTTTGTCGCCGATACTTTGTACAACAAAGTCTCAACTTCAGACACAAGTTTGTTCCGGTGCTTGGGACGTTTTCCCGAAAAACATTGGCACGATCGGTGTATAAAGCATCACCAGTGTTGTCGTCCGCATAGCATTTCGCAACATATCATTGATATGAAGCGAAATAGCGTTGGTGATAGCACGCTACCTTGTGGCGCATCAGCATTAAGAGGCTTGTAATCAGAGCATGCACCGTCTAATACGACCTTGATGTTCCGATCAGCGAGGAAACTGGTGATCCAATTGCAAAATTTCTCGGGAAGCCACTAGGAAGGGAGCGTCGAAAGAAGCACTTGGTGCCAAACCCGATCGAACGCCTTTGCTATGCCCAATCTAACGGCCAATGCCTCCCACTTGGACTCTACTGCTTCCACCCATCTAGTCAGGTAGACCAGAAGATCACCAGCTGATCAACCCTAACGAAAAACGTATTGGCGGTCACTAATCAGCTGTGATCTTCAATGTACCTCATGAGGAAGTTGATAATCTTTCCATTAGTTTGGGCAGTATGGAGATGATGGCGATCAGCACAATGGGAAGTACTCCATCAGGCCCACTCGAATTGTTGATATCCAGGGAGAGGATTGCTTTACCAACCAAGCTCAACGTAAAATGCACATCCGACATGGAGCACTCACAGTGCGGGGGTGGTCGGCGGTGTGTTCCCTTCTTTATTTAGAGTTGGACGCAAAGAGAGAGCCTAACAGATCGGCTTTTTCCATTGTGGAATAGGCCAGTAAGACGTCCTCTCTGTGCAGAGATGGATGAGAGGGCTGACAGAAGTTCCCTTGGACAGCCTTGGCGAGAGACCGGAATGCATGGGTTCTCGAAGTAAAGCGAACTAGCTTCTTGCCAATTCTGCCGATGTGCTCTGACCCTGCGTTGGCAATGTTTTTTTTTGAAGGCGTTGGAGGTCAACTCACGCTTATTTTTAAGAGCGCTTGTGTTTACCGAAACGTTAATGCAACGGGCCAGGGCCGGTAGCACTCCTGCTTATAGCGTGATGCTATTTTACAGGAGCGATCGAACCATGGCTGACTTCTGCCTCCGATAAGCACCACAGAAGATGGAATAAAAAGTTCCATAAGCCTAACGTACCACATCAGACACAACAGGTAGATGCGATATCAGAATCAGCAACAACGCTGCTATCGTCCGGCGAGACGCAAACCCGCCCCCAAGTATAGATCTATCCCAATCGGCCGACCTGCAGTGCCAAACACCTTGGACACACTCCGGAATAGACAATGACCCGGAGCCATGAGTAGTATAGTACGTTCACGATGACCACCGTGAGGTTTCAGCCGGTAGGTCGGTGTACCATTTGCTTCGTTTCCTCCAGTTTAGTCAGAGGAGGACATCAACTTGTGAACCCAAACTCCACAGACCACTAATTGATAATCACTAAAGCATGGAGTCTGTGCTGTAAATGTTTCAAGCACGCCAGTTGCCACATTCTTAATAAGGCCTTATCTAACAGTTCACTGTAAAAGCCTATGGAAAAGAAGATGATAATTTTATTTCAAAATATTGAGGAATCACAAAATGTATGCAGAGAATAAAACAACCAAAAATAAAAAAAATATAAGCGACAGTAGCCTAATGGCAGGGCGCGGACCACGAACTCAAAAGGTCGTGGGTTCGAATCCGCCATTCGACTACTGGCGTGAACCACTCGTAACACAAACAATTTAAGCTTACCACGAGTGTTTAAGGGGAATATTAGTAATGTTTATAGCATTGTTAATATTCTATTAAAAAAAAACCGGACATACATTTTTTTAACGTAAAATAGAATTTCTTATAATATTTTACTTGACGTTAACGAGTCACAAAATTTGAAACAAGTCTGTTGAAAAATGTTAGTAAAATGTTGCAATAAGACAGTCATATTTTAAATAGACTATTACTTGAATCTGGCTAACGTCCAAATAAATATATTTTAATATCATCAAAATATCTAGGACTATTTGGCGAATAGTTTAAAAAGCAAAAATTTGTAAGTTATTGCACGATTTTAAACTTTTTACGTAAGATAATGTTTTGTATATCACAACAAATTAATAACAGGGAAAGGGTGGTTTTTTATTTTTAATGAAACATTGTAAATTTATATTAAAAGATTTATTAATAAGTAAATATAAACCTTACTCAGCCACGCACTTCAATTAGACGAGAACAAATATTATTTTGTACAATACATAAGCAGTACATAATACTATTTTGTTAAATAAATAAATGTAGTCAATCTTGAAGATATATTTATTATGTTGTTGTCCAATGTTCCGAAGTATCGAAAAGTAAAAATATTGAAATGTAATAGACAATCCTTAAGTTAAACCGTAAGTATAAAATGAAGTGTGGATAAATATATATTTATTCTCCAGTCATCATCTCCATAAATTCTGGAACAAAATGTTTATTAAATGTATATTATGTTGCACATACATATGATGTAACACTTAGCTTAGAGCAAAGCAAAGCAACGCGAGCAACCCTGGTTGAATTTATCATTGACACAAATGATATTGTTTATTTTAATTTGACTAACGACATGCCCGAAGGTGAAGTAAAATATTGTGAGGAAACCTGCATATCTGAGAAATTTATAGAAACGTTTCGAAGAAGTCCGTCAATATGCATTGTGGTAGCGTAGCGGATGCTTTCTTACCTTACAACTTTCACAAATAAGATGTGGTTTGTGCTTAGCAGAGGAACATTATATAGGCGGAATTGTTTTACATACGTAAATTGTACATGGATAACATCCAGAATGGAAAAATTATTTAAACTATACTTGTTCTGTGCGGTGTTCGAACCCGCAACCCCGCAGCTCCGCAACCATAGGCTTAGTAACAGCGCTACTGAGCCATCAAAATTAGAGAAAATAATTTGTTATATTATAAATTGAAATATCATAAAATAATTTGATATATTATAAATTGAAATATCATAAAATAATTTGGTATCTTTTTTAATAATTCACTTCTTGTGATTTATCATGAGTTCATGAGTCTTGAATACTGAAATCATTAATTCTTGAAAATATATTTTTGATACTTGGGACTCGGACCTAATTGGTACCGTCTAATTAATTTTTTTTTTGTTATCGCTGAAGGTGATTTGAGTTTGAAAAGAATTTAAATTCAAAGCTCGATCATAATCATAAAACTATATTATTATTGTCAGTTTATAAATTTAAAAATATTCAGACTTTTGGAAGTGGGTAAAAGATTTTTTTTATTAGTTACAGTGAAAATCGAATAAAAAAATATATTACACTAGCATGCCAGGCAGACGTAGTTCTGCCCTTTGCGACGACCCTTTATTATGTCCTATTAAAAATCCTTAAATTCCCAAAAAAAAAAAACATTGTTGGTCACTCATGCGCAAAAAAACTATCCTATCTCTCAAGTTGGACCAAACCGCATATGGTGCGCTAATTTTACTAAAATCGGTTAAGTAGGTTAGGAGTCCAACGCGGACAAACAATGCGACACGTAATTTATATATATTAAGAAGATTAATATATACATATGTATAATAATTGAACATAAATACATGCAACAGAATAAAGAACAACAAAAAAATGAAAATTACCATCGAAGTCCACCGTGCCGCTGCCGTCCGTGTCGATCTCCTGGATAAGGCCGTCGAGTTCTTCGTCTGTCAGCTGCTCATCCAACTCGCGAAGGATCTCACGTAAGCTCGACGTGGGAATGTAACCGTTGCCTGTTTATAAAAATGTTTTTTTTTTAAATTTAATATTTTGTTAACATTAAATAATCTGAGTGATCAACCGTGACGTGTCGGTGTAAGAATATCCACTAATCCATATTGATGTTCCTTTGGATGTCGTAAGAGGCGACAGAGTTAAAGTAAAACATGTGATGGTCAGTATCATCCGGATAACAACTAAAATTAAAAAAAATTGCGGTTGCGAACCCGCCCGCCGACCATGACAACTATGCCAAAATCCTCATATCTATATTCAACTATGTAATGGATGTATTATGTTATCCTGTATAATTTATGCGCAAATAGTATTCTTTAAAAAATTACAACTTAAATAAAGGAAATTATAATTATTTTTGAGATCTGATGTTTTAAGAGATGTTTTAATGTATAAGCTTTAAAACGGCTCACCTTCCTTGTCGTATAATCTAAATGCTTCCCGGAGCTCTTTTTGCATAGCTTCGGCGTCCTCTTCAACGATGAATTTGGCAGCCAAGGTTACGAATTCAGGGAACTCAAGACGGCCAGATTCTAGAAGAAAAAATAGTTTTAGTAGTAATATTTAGTTGAGACTAATTTGATGATTAGAGCAAGGGAACGGGGAGCCTTGGTTCTGGACAAATTTTAGAGAGTGGAATATAAGGTATATTATGCCCCCACCTTATCCTTTTAAGTAACGACAGTAAGATATTTAAAAAATCTGAAAATTGCTAACACAGAACACTTTTCATTTTAATATTACAAACTCTGAAGCATTGCAAGTTATGGAAATATAGATAAAATGCACAAAAGCACTTGTCAAGGGTATGGATAAGTATATAAAAGTGCATTATACTTCGCTTTTATAGAATATACTAAGACTATAAAACACTTAAACCATTTTATATGGGGATGAGGGATGTCCAGGGCGGCCGCTGCCCATGCTATGCCTAGTCTATAAAATAAACATTATCACTTACTGTCAGCATCGACTTCCTCGATGAGCTCTTCAAGGATTTTTTTGTTGAAAGGTTGTCCCATCATCCGAAGTATGTCCGCGACGAAGTCACACGGGATGCTGCCTGAGCGGTTGTGGTCGAAGCCATCGAAAGCCTTGCGGAGGACTGGAACAAACAACCCTTGCATTATAACCTCTGTCAGAGATTACGCAATACAAATAAGAAACTGGAAAGTTAAGACCATTGAACGTCGTACCCTCGATGTTTATCATGCTTATTTTGAACGGAATTGTTTAGAGTAAATGCGGTTAACCGGTTTCTTTGGTCTACTAATTAAAAGGAATTGGAAGGACACTTGTGGTGTTGCACTAGCAATAAAAAGAGTCGCACTGATCGCTCGGCGGGTGAAGATGGGATTAGAACAGAGGTTCAATGCTCTGAAATGCAGTGCGAATAAGTTGTGCAATGTAGCTATTTCGGTGCAGCGGCCGCAGCGTGGTGCAACGGATACGGTGTGTGTGCGTGGAGTATTGCGTGAAAATAGGGCGCCATTAAATAATTCATAAAAACAACCACAAATTCTATAAATTATGCGTTTTGAAACCATCTTTATTGCAACTTTAGGTACATGCCGACAATTTATCATAATCTGAAAATAGTTTACTACACTTTTTTATGATTCCTAAGTCTACATCGCATTAAGATTTTCTCCTGAATTTTGAAAGCATCGACAATATACAGACATAGAATAATTATTTGTAAGCTATATGAATATTTTTTAACGCGCGAAATTCGAATCCCCTAGCACCGCAGCCAAATTCTTAGCCACTGCCATACCGACCGATATGTAGAACAAAGTTAGTAAAAAAATGTAAGTATTGTAATAAGCAAAGGAATAACTAAGTATTGGCTATTTGTAACCACTTTAACCAAGGGATTTATATTATTTTCAACGTAAAACAATAGCGTTGGAGGCCAACATTTCTATTAAGAAGAACGCAAAGAAACCCATCATTATTTTATAATTATTATATAATATATTTAAGTGATTCCCATTAATAACCATACTGTTTTTGTTTTTAGTCATACTGCTCGTTTTAGTTTTTAAAGTCGTTAATAACAAAATTCTGCTTAAAGTCGTTTACTCAAATTTTATTATATTCCTTATTCTTATTATATAAATTAATATTAGATATTAGAATGTCCCTTAGAATGCAGTAAAGATTAAAATAAATGAATAAATAAATTAGTGATACACCTAATATTAGGCTATATAATTGCAGCTCGGCGGCCTACTACTCGTTCACAAAATCCATCCCAACATTGGCGCCTCTGCAAGCTGTTACTTGAGACTATAAAGTATCATTAATTTCAAATCTCCGCAACGGAGATATTCATTACACAAATAAGGTGATTGGCATAGCTTAACGAATCAGTAGACAAGCTAAACGGAAATGAGTAGGTATGACACCTTGAAGAACTGACAACCGACGGAAGGGACTTGGTAGTTTCCATTAAGAGACTGCCAATCAAGATCCCTCCTAAATGCAATGAGAGTCTGAAGAAAATTGCAGAGTATCGGTGGATGCATGTGGAGAACCTTTATGATAATCTATCAGGGAGGCCTATGTTGGACAGAAAACATGTGAAATTTTGTAACAATAACGATGATAAAATAATTATATTATAATTATTTCCACGTATTTATTTAATTTTAACCTAATTTAAACAAAAAATACATACTATAAATTACACGACTTTGCAACGATTTAAGGTATCATTTAAAAAAAACATTTAATTCCGTAAATTAGTCTATCATATCTAATATCGTCTATGTGTATTTAGGTGATCTACTGTCTAATATGACCAAATTGTCGTGTTGGAGCAGACGTCATTAATACGATATTTGTCTATGCATATTATATAAGTTACATTCTGTATGATTTCTAAAGCAATAAACATAAAAAAAATTATAAGTTTGAATATAATCAAGAGATTAAATGGTCAATGAACCTATACCTACTATCGTGTTGTTAGTTTTTTTAATAGAACCCCATCCGTAATAAAAGCTTCTTCTTTTTTTAAATTATGGCTTCTCTTGATAGAATTCTGCCAGTTCATGGGAGTGACAAGTTAATAATTCTTATTCTATACTGATAGACTTCTCAATTTTATGAGTGGATTCACAATCTACAACAAAAGACGTCACATTTTTAAAATACGATCACCAAAGTTCTTTAGTGATTTTACAGTTTAATTTTATTATTACGAATAAAAGCAAACAAAATATTTACAAAGGGAGTATACACTTGGGTCAGCAAATATTGGAAATTTATAGGACAGATGTTATAGGGTACGATATCATAGAGAAAGTGAGAAAGATTGGACACTCAAAGAAAGAACTTAAGATGATTGACAGATCTTTCGTTTAGCCCACATTCACAGATTGAGCTAACCCTAATCCTGAGTTTAGCCAAGTGTACTGGAGTACAAGCATGACTAAAAGCGTAAGCGACAAAACAGTAGAGGTGATAGTTTTACTAAAGTGGCGATATTGAAAAAAAAAACAGGATTTTGATAGGATATTAATTTGGACTTTGAAATAGTGAATTCATTTTAATATTTTAGACTGATGCCTATTTCTTTGTCACGAAAACAGAAGGCTGGAGCCAGCCTTTGGCGGGAAGTTAAATGCATAGCGGCATTGTTTAGCGAGGGAGCCAGTGTTTGTGGCTTCTTTAGCCAAATTATCTGCACTTTCGTACCAGAAACTTGCAAATAACAACAGTCAGTGTTTTTAATTTATAGGGATTTAATGAATTGAATTTAAGTGTTGGAAATGTAAGGACTGGTAGATTTATATTTGACATTCAAGTTTATCGGGTGCTGCCAGCATATTTTAATAACAGACCAGAATCGTAAAAATATTTTGAACTAAATACTTCAAATTTAATTTTGAATTCTCAATAACTAAGACTAAAATAGAGATTTAGGTTACAATATAATGTTATGGGAGTTCTAATAAATAGTTAAAGCATACTTTATTTTCATAATAAATGAAGATTACAAGATAATTTATTATACGTAAATGACGAGACTCGAGGGTTTTAGAATATCATAGTAATTTCTCAGAGTTGGATATTTCGGAGCGTGTGCGTCATTTTGTGTAAAAATAAAATGATATCAAATGTTGCTGACAGAAATAAACTCTTTCGAAGCTTTTTCGTGACGCGTGTGAAAGATACTACGTTAAAATGGTCTTTCATTTCAAAAATGTATCCCGCTTCTGTCCCGCTCTGTGTAAATTTTACTTTAAAACACACAAAAGTTATGCAATTAAATAAGTAATAGATAACATTATATAATACACTAAATTGAAACGATTGAACCTTTTTTTTTTTGCAAAACATTTCAGTTATTTTAAGCAACAAAACAAAGTCAATCTTCTCTGTTTTTTGTTTTCTTAATTTGTAAATTTGACTAAGGGAATTTGCGATATAAATGTGTAGGACCTCCAACAGATATTGGTATATGTCATCATCATCATCATCATTACAGCCCTTCACAAGTCCACTGCTGAACATAGGCCTCCCCCAAGTAATGCCACAAAGTACGGTCCTGAGCCACCTGCATCCATCGACTTCCTGCATGTCTTACCAGGTCGTCACTCCATCTAGTGGGGGGTCGCCCTACTACGCCTACCGGTACGAGGCTGCCACTCAAGAACCTTTCTTCCCCATCGGTTATCGGTTCTTCGAGATATATGGCCGGCCCATTGCCTCTTCTGCTTACTAATCCGTTGGGCTATGTCGGTCACTCTGGTTTTACTGCGGATATCCTCATTTCTGAGTGTATCACGCAGAGAAACTCCGAGCATAGCCCTCTCCATAGCTCGCTGAGCGACCTTGAGCGTCCTCATACGGCCAACAGTGAAGGACCACGTCTCTGATCCGTAAGTCATCACTGGCAACACGCACTGGTTGGTATATGTATAATAACTGAAACTTGTATTGAAACTTACGTCTTAAACTTTGACACCTGTCCAGTACCAAATTTAGAAAAGAGCAAAACGAGCTTAGGCCCATGGTCTGTAGAAAAGAGGAACCTCTAATTTGGAAGTATTTTTAAGAGAACGCATATTTTCGAAAGGAAAATTATAAAAAAAAAGTTTTTTCTTGTTTGAAACATGACCTGGGACTTTTTATCACGCGAAGGTCTTAATATCTTTAACGAACAACTTTAATATGAACCTGAGGTAACAAACGAACCTTTATTTCACCTGATGGTAAGTGGCTATTGCAGAATATGGACACAGATTCAAACCAAAAGAAAACGCTAAAGATTTTTGATGATATCTAAGGATTGAGATATAATACCTCACAGCGTGTAATTACACTGGCTCTCTGTACCTCTCAGATCGAAACATTGCAGTACACCCACTGCTTCATGACCCTAGATATAGGTAGGAGTGTGGTACCCACGCAGGATAGGAGTGCTACCACCGAGTACCGGCTTTCGTCCTGAAGTGAACAAAGGCTGTAACAGGTTCACAATGAATAATCTGAATTTCCTTAAATATACAATTAGATCTTACATTTACGTAAGATACGTAAAAGTAAGTTACTATACAATTAACTCGTATTTTTAAGATTATATATTGAAATTTTTTAATACGTTTTACCACGTTTTGTTTTTTATTTTTACATGGTCATCCGATTCCAAATTATATTAAAAATTTCAAGTCTCAAGCTCATCAGAAAGTTAGTTTAAAATCAATTACTAAATTTTTATGAAAAGTATTAAAAAATAAAATTTAACGCGTTTTAATTTATTGTGCGTACGTAGGTATCATACATTCTTTCCCATTGGCGGTAGATGCCGACAACCGATGGGAAAGAAAGATTATCGAGTGGCAGCCTCGCTTAGCAAAGCTTAGAGCGGTCCTGCAGAAGATGGAGTGAAGACCTGGTAAGACATGGATTAAACCGATGGATACATTGATACTATTCCTTGAACGGGTAGCTCTGGTACTCCAAATATGATTTAGTTGATAATCTAACAGTAAATACTATTAGGTTTTTTTAAACAAGTGAAAAATATGTCTTCGACTGGACTAGAACCCGGACATCGCGACATTGTTCCCTGATACTTTGACGACAGAGTGC